TAAATAATGCAATAATTAAATTAGTTCACAGCATTGGCTGACTCAGGCGTTCCTTGTTCAGTTTGCACATGCTGTACCTAAAACAACAACTCTGCATATTTGTTTACTCCAGCACATTCCTACGATTAATGTATTCAAACAGACCCTACCGCAGACTCATGTCGACACTAGCAACCCTGTCTTGGTCGACGACAGAAAATCAATAGGGGAGATGTCAGGGGTGCTTTCGACGATCGTCGACAAACCGGAACTTGATCCTTCCCGGAGGCGGAAGTGGAGACTGAGGGGTTATTGGGATTTGATAACAAATCTACATTACGAAATGTCTACACCCCACACTGCATCTACGTGGTGGATTACGCAGCGAGGGTGGGGGTTGAAGTTAAATAAATTATTTATGAGAAATGTTTGATTTGAAGAGGAAATTGTTAGTAATTGTTGTGATAAGGGTAATTGTTAGAATTGTATTTTGTTTAATAAATTATTTATGAGAAAAGTTTGATTTTATGAAGAAATTGTTAGTAATTAATTGTTGTGTTAAAGGTAATTGTTAGAATTGTGTTTTGTTAAGTTGGTAATATATATATTTTTAATGGTTGGTCAATAAGAATTGCAGTTAAATTTCAATAGATTTTAAAATATTTTAGATAAATGGTACATCATCTATTGACTAAGTCTGATACAATAATATTATGAGTAGTAAGTTTCAGAAAAATGTTATAGCTTTGAGTCTAGTTGAACTAACAATTAATTGTTTTTCATATTTTCTTGTGATTTGGCGTATTATTTTCAATCCAAGTAGAATTTAGGTATTTACAAAAATTTGCACAAAACTAATATAGTCTTAGTACATAATATAATCAAGGATCTGATAAAAAGTGTTAAAGTTGTACAATAAACGTTCCCTTATGTGGGAGAACTTTGTTTTCCTTTTTTTGGACAAAGACAAACGTTTTTGGTGATAGAAAACAATGTATATACATCTAAAAGGAAAACCCATTCGTCCGATTGTCACGATTACAAAATAATATTCAAACAATCATCTGTGGCAAAAAAAAAAAACATTTTCAAGACCAATTTATAAATCCATCCAGTATTTTGTGGAAACATGATGTGTAAAATACAATTAAATGGATTGCGTTAATTGTTTAAATCGCTGAAACACGGAGGATGGGAGCATGAATATTTTAGAGTTTAACACCTTTGAAAATGAATTTTAAAACTTGGTACAAAAGGGTTACTGTTAGACAACCCAAAATAAACACATCTCACAATTCACACAATTTCCACAGAAACCTTTCACGGTCCAAGCAAAAACTGTTCATCAAAGGGGTTTGCGAGGCATAATCAACCGAGGGATGAGAGAATTTCTACTCTGTTTTACAAAGTACAGGATCAAGAGTTGCACCCTCCGAGCTCGCGGAGTAACAGGGATTTTCATCCGCTTAGTAGGGTTGAGACGTAAGCCCTCTAGGTGTTTTGTAATTACCAAAAACAAACAAGAGCTAAACTTCCATGATCAAACGGCGGAATCTCCCAAACTGGGAAAATGAAATATGCCAGTAAAGGTGTATGAGTTCAAAATACAGCAAAGGGTGTGTTTTCTTGAACGTTCATATACCAAGAGTCTACGACTACAAAATTGTCCATGTGCTGGAAATTGTGTATTCTTGATTACGTCTATTTGAAAAATTTCAGACGATCACTCAATATAACTAGTACTTTAACTTGTACGTAAGAAAATCTAAATGTATCACAAACAATATCGAAATGCCATACATTCGCTCATTTATCGATTAATCCAGTATAAAAAGTATTTAAAACACAGCTCCTTTGCATAAAACATATTTTCCATCCTTGAACGTACAATAAAAAATACTCATCAATATCGGAATGAATGATTTTTAACCCTTTTCAATCCACTTTCAGTTTCTAACAAAACAAGGTCAAATTGATTTTATACTATACTCAATTTCTATGGCTAATTACTACATAAATACCAAAAGCGTTCAATAGTGACAGTTTAGCTGGCTGCCACTTCTAACTTACAGCTCATAGTATTATAACTTAGCCCAAAAAAAGTATGATAACACTCTGAAGTGGTTTTTAGGATGTATTACACGTTACATTTTTCAAAAGGTAACGTGTATTCTTGAATATGTAAATTCTAAATTAACAAACTCTATTAAAAAGTTAAATTGAATCTTCCCGAGGAAAAAGGCAAGGCTCCTCTCCTTTATATGCTTTGGAAAAACTTCATACGCTTCATACACGCGTGATTATAAAGTCAAATATATTCATAAGCACCTTAACCTTTTCCACTACACTGTATTGCTTAAGGCTTGATTTAAATTATGTTATTAGGCCTACGAAAAATTAAGAAATAGGAACTTGCGTCATATATTTCTCTTGTCTTAAAGGCATTTACAATTCGAACTGGACATGTAGTAACATGAGAAGGTTTTGACAGTTTCCTTATGGACAAATTTAAACAAATGTCAATGGCGTAAAAAACGACACAAACAATCACATACTCTTACAGAGGTGCACCTTACTTTAACCTTAAGACTCGTGGTGTAATCTTTGAAAATTACTTACATTTAAACTCAAATTCATGAAATGGTGAAAAAGCTATTCTTAAACATCTCTTTTTTTACCAACGAAATAGTAAGGCTCGTACCTTAAATTTTCTACTCGTGTCGTTAACACTATTTTCATCACTCCGTAACGAAAGTAACTATTTTCGATAACAGCTGACATCAATGAAAGTAGTCGTTTCCCAAGCTCTAATTTAGGGCCAGGGAAAATCGATCAGCTGATTTTCCCTCGCTCTAAATTTACTTTCCCTCGCTCTCAATTAGTTCTACATTTATTCACTACGCGCGCTAGTGTTTTGTTACGGTTTAATTTAATGATTTTAATCAGCTGTATGTATTGGTCAATGTTGTTTATTCTTTTATTTTGATATTTAAACAAAATGTATTGAGAAATATACATAGGTTTCCTTTTAGAAAATTTTATTTTATTTTATTTTGATGTTCAATTAAATTAATTGAGAAATAAAATAGTTGTAATATTACTGAGGTCTGCTATTCTGTGTTTGTGTATTTTTGCGTCGTGATGAAAAGTATCGTTCATAACTCGTACCGAAAGTTATTATCCGGCACTTGCTCCATCATTCCCGTCCTCGGCTTCGCCTCGCACGTGAAAATAGCTCTCACATACTCGGCTTCGCCTCGCACGTGAAATTGATGTTCCCTGTGTTCGGCTTCACCTCACACAAAAACTTGAGCGCGCGACGGAAAATGCCACTTTCGGTCCTAGTAATGAAATATACTATTACGCGAGTTGCGTACACTACTTTATTTTCGACGGTGTTTTAATTACTAAAAATCACTACTCATAACTTCTAAGAGAGTTTATGTTTTTGTTTATAACCTCTCATTGCCACTGACAGTGCTGCAACGAAACATTGTATCAAATACTAATTGCACCAATCAACAATTAAATTGGCCTGAACAGCTGATTAGTTGAATTTCGAATCATTACAATTTTGCTTCTCCTCTCTCAATCCTTGAACCTCATTGGTCCGTTACCCGTGTTGCTATGAGTAAAAATATGCTGTAATGAAAGTAAACAATGCTGTGATGAGATACTTTTCAATTCTAAGAACTCTACTGAAACGGCTACTTTAAAAACGGTCGTAGGTAAAGTGTATTTATGATTTCAGCAACAATATAAACTACATGTAATATAAAACCAAATGTAGACCTAGATACTGAGAAATTCATTGTTGAGATTTTTGGGGATGGAATTTATTACGCAATCTCAACCAGTTTACCATTGATTTCTCCTAACCGATTTCCTATTTTGAGAATTGTCTAGCCGTAAAAAACAAATTTTCTAAAACTACAAGATGGATACGTTTCTAATAACTTTATAAAAGTTAAGGAGTATTTATTTAGACCCTAATATTCCTACAAAACGTTTTAAATTATTCAAAATCACGTGGAGCGTCTACAAATCGTTTGATCCGCCGCGCTGATTATACGAAGGTTGTATCAAAGCCCTTTCGCAACAGACGAAGGGAGACTTACGTCGGTGAAATATTGAAAACCGTTCACTCGCGTCGTCTCATGGCATATTAATGATTTCCAGTTCCAACGTCGACCTCTCTGCGACGTCGCTTTGCAATATGACATGGTTTACACCAATATTAAATATTATAACAGAAAAACGGTTGTAGGGAAAAATTAAAAGTTATTTGTTGTAATTCAGAACATCACGTATATACAGTAAACATGTTACACGTTTTAAGATAAAAACTGAACAAATACACAAATCAAATCAAAATTAGGTTTACTGCTAAAAGGGAGGTTCTTTATAGGGGAAATTCACAAAAAGTATAAACTGTTTATAGATCAAGAGTTATTGAAATATTTAAGTATATTAAATTATTAATTAATTTTTATAGAAATAAAAACATTTTAAATGTTATCTCCTTTTAGATCAAAATGACGTAGGGAGGCCCTATAATGGATATTAAAAGAAAACGTTTAGTTAAAGAATCAGTATCGATCTAATGATGTCATAATGTACACACTGTCCTTTAAAAAGTTTAATTTACTCATTTACCAATTTTGTAGCAGGATTAGAAAACTAACAATGTAAAATCTTATGGAGCATAATAAAGTTCGTTTACACAATTTAGACTGTTTAATGGGGTAGGTTTTCCTAGGTTCCACACCATATTTTTTGCTTGAATTTATATCCGCTGAACAGCTATCGGCTATTGTTTCAAAACTAAGTTGACGTGGAGGAGCTGAAATCGACTAAATTTTGTGGATGGAATATGTTGCAAAAAAATATGTTACTTACAATAAATTGTGAATCAGTATTATTGCCTGATTGCTTGTATGTACTATTGGTTCTGATGCTGATACTAATACTATTGTACTATAGATGATACTAATGCTAATACTAATTTTGTACTAAGTTACCTTGTCCTCGGCCTCCTCGGCTCGGGTCTCCGCCTCCAGAACTCTCTGTTCCAACTCCGAAAGCTGCAACAGACAAACCATGGGTTAGTGACACATGAACAATTGATGGGGGAACACTGCCTTTTAGATATCGGTATATATCTATATCCATAAAAGAGGAACTATGTATATATATGTATATATATATGTGTATATACGTTATGGACTCCGAAACCGCTCGTTAGATTGTAATAAAACTTTCAGGCATTATTAAGCATCTTTCAAGGATGGTTCGAGTGAAGTTTGGTGCAGATCCGTCAAATGGGCTCTGCCCCAGAGGGTTTTAAGTGGACCAATGTCAGACATTTTGATCTACAATGTTTACAAATAAATATAATTTAAAAGCAGATGTTTACTTTCACCAAATGTTTTGTAGGTTTAAATAATCACAACATGTATTAGCATTAGTCATGATTTGAAATTGTGCCATAGTGTTTCTACATAGTGCAGCACAGAAAACTATTTTACTTTTGAATAAGTCCAAATGTATTAAACCCCAATGTTAAATATAAAAACATAAAAACCTTTATCAAAGTATTATAAACAATAAAATGGATGGCAATACCTTAATATTTTTATCTTTCGTTCTATACCCACACAATCTAACATAAATTATTAAGTGAATAATAATCGTGCGTGCTATCTCGGGTATTCAAATGCCTCTGAATTTGTCACTAACCCACCACATTACTGTCATTAAAAGAAATAACTCCAATAATAATGCGAAACTTAAATCCACCGAAGTTGTGCAACGTTACCAGACTAACGACTAAAATACCCCCGCCGCAGCAAACCTGCCGACTAAGCGAATTTCCATTTGTCTTAATTGATTTTCAATTAAATATATTTTAATAACATTAGGTTTAACCAGTACCTAGGTTTGCTGCTACAAGGAAACTAATAAAGTGTGTTTTTTTGTAAAATATTGATAGCTTAGTACAAAATAAATAAATTTGATCAAAATACAAAATATATCCATAAACAAGTAAACTACCTACCCTACAACATTTGACAATATTCTCCATAAGAATAACATGGGAATTTTAAATTTACAATTTTTTTAATTTTCTCCGTTACTATTAACCGAACAAAAATACTTTTTGAGCGGAGCGAGCGAAGCGAGCGAAGCTCTTATACGTCGACTTTTATGCATTTCGTAGTCTAATACGCAAACTCCTCCTAGACGGCTGAATCAATCGTTTTCAAATTTTGCATGGTGATAAAGACCATATCGGTGAGTGCCAACATCTATATGGCGTTAAAAAAGTCTCTCAGGAATCCGTAGAAAAATGAAACTGAAAATCACATTTTTTTAACATTAGTCTTATGGGTTGCTAGGTAACCATGTTGGCTGAATTAAATAACAAGTAAAAAGTAAACAAAAGATTTGAAGTTTTAGCATGTGCTCATAATAAGCCAACTACCCACAGTATACTAGGAAATTACAAATACAGTACAAAAGGAAAACATCACTTGTTAATATTGAGCAAAGATTATACTTAAGATTACTCGATACATTGTAGTCAAGGGTAGCAGTGCGAAGTCTAGGATCTGTTTATGACGAATACATTAAGGTATCTGCAATCCTAAAATGCTATGGGAAGGGAAGGAAACAGGTCCGTGACGTAAGAAGTAGTGAAGGAAGTAGTATAGGCAATCATAAAATGCTATGGGAATAGAGGGAAACAGGTCCGTGACGTAGGAAGTGATGAAGGAAGTAGTAAATGCGAGCAGTCCGGAGTGTGGGGACTGTTTATGACGATAAGATTAGGGTATCTGCAATCCTGAAATGCTATCGGAAGGGAGGAAAACGGGTCCGCGACGTAGGAAGTGGTGAAGGAAGTAGTCAAGGCGAGTAGTCCGGAGTGCGGGAACTGTTTATGACGATTAGAATAAGGTATCTGCAATCTTTAAGTGCAATAGGAAGGGAGGGAAACAGGTCCGCGACGTAGGAAGTGGTGAAGGAAGTAGTCAAGGCGAGCTGTCCGGAGTGTTGGAACTATTATGACGATTAGATAAGGGTATGGGCAATCAAAAATGCTATGGGAAAGGGAGGGAAACAGGCCCGTGACGTAGGAAGTGGTGAAGGAAGTAGTCAAAGCGAGCTGTCCGGAGTGTTGGAACTGTTTATGACGATAAGATAAGGGTATGGGCAATCCTAAAATGCTATGGGAAGGGAGGGAAAGAGGTCCGCGACGTAGGAAGTGGTGAAGGAAGTAGTCAAGGCGAGCTGTCAGGAGTGAGGGAACTGTTTATGGCGATTAGATAAGGGTATGGGCAATCCTAAAATGCTATGGGAAGGGAGGGAAACAGGTCCGTGACGTAAGAAGTGGTGAAGGAAGTAGTCAAGGCGAGCTGTCTGGAGCGTGGGAACTGTTTATGATGATTAGATTAAGGTATTTGCAATCCTAAAATGCTATGGAAAGGGAGGAAAATAGGTCCGCGACGTAGGAAGTGGTGAAGGAAGTAGTCTAGGCGAATTGTCCGGAGTGTTGGTAATGTTTATGACAATTAGATTAAGGTATCAGCAAACCTAAAATGCTACGGGAAGGGAGGAAAACAGGTCCGCGACGTAGGAAGTGATGAAGGAAGTAGTCAAGGTGAGCTGTCCGGAGTGTGGGAACTGTTTATGACGATTAGATTAAGGTATTTGCAATCCTAAAATGCTATGGGAAGGGAGCGAAACAGGTCCGCGACGTAGGAAGTGGTGAAGGAAGTAGTCAAGGCGAGTAGTCCGGAGTGTGGGAACTGTTTATGACGATTAGATAAGGGTATGGGCAATCCTAAAATGCTATGGGAAGGGAGGGAAACAGGTCCGCGACGTAGGAAGTGATGAAGGAAGTAGTCAAGGTGAGCTGTCCGGAGTGTGGGGACTGTTTATGACGATTAGATTAAGGTATTTGCAATTCTAAAATGCTAAGGAAAGGGAGGAAAATAGGTCCGCGACGTAGGAAGTGGTGAAGGAAGTAGTCTAGGCGAGTTGTCCGGAGTGTTTGAAATGTTTATGACAATTAGATTATGGTATCAGCAAACCTAAAATGCTACGGGAAGGGAAAAAACAGGTCCGCAAAGTAGGAAGTGATGAAGGAAGTAGTCAAGGTGAGCTGTCCGGAGTGTGGGAACTGTTTATGACGATTAGATTAAGGTATTTGCAATCCTAAAATGCTAAGGGAAGGGAGCGAAACAGGTCCGCGACGTAGGAAGTGGTGAAGGAAGTAGTCAAGGCGAGTAGTCCGGAGTGTGGGAACTGTTTATGACGATTAGATTAAGGTATCTGCAATCTTTAAATGCAATGGAATGGAGGGAAACAGATCCATGACGTAGGAAATTGTGTAGGATGTAGATGTGTGGATTTATGTATCTCCAATACTACGGTGCTTTCAGAGCGAACTAATGATTTTCCCCGAGCAAAGCTCGGTCCCCAGGTACTATAATCAAATGACGACACTAGCTTGAGGTTCGTGACGTATGAAGAGGTTAAGGAAGTAGTAAAGGTGAACAGTCTGGAGTATGGAAACTGTTTATGACGATTAGATTAAGGTCTCTACATTCCTAAAATGCTACGGAAAGGGAGGGAAACAGGTCCGCGATGTGGGAAGTGGCGAAGGAAGTAGTAAAGGCGAGCTGTTCGGAGTGTGGGATCTGTTTATGACGATTAGATTCAGGTATCTGCAATCTTAAAATGCTATGGGAGAGAGGGAAACAGATCCGCGACGTAGGAACAGGTGAAAGAAGTAGTAAGGTGAGCAGTACGGACAGTGGGAATGTTTGTTGCAATTAGATTAACGTATCTAAAATACTAAAATGCTATGGAAAGCGATGAATACAGGTCCACAACGTAAGTGGTGAAGGAAGTAGTAAAGGCTGGCGGCAGTGCAGAGTGGGGGAACCGTTTGAGCAGATGGATAAATGAATTTGTAATACTTAAATGCTATGAGAAAGGAAGGAAACAGGCCAATGACGTAGTAAATGGTGAAGGAAGTAGTAATGCTAACATCGCAGAGTGTGGGAACTGTCTTTGGCAATTACATTAATGTATCTGCAATCCTAAAATGCTATGGGAAGAGAGGGAAACAGGTCCACGACGTAGGGTGTGGTGAAGGAAGTAGTAAAGGTCAGCAGTGTTGAGTTTGGGAATGGATTAATGTATCTGCAATGCTAAAATGCTACGGGAAGAGACTGTAGACTGGGACGGGTGGCGTCGTCCTGTAATACAGCTACTAGGAGGTCACGAATTGTGGATATTTATAGGGATGCACTGTGGATGCGATGCTCACTGGTGTGGATTAACGTCCGCACTAGTGAGTACTACGACTATCCGCAGTACTATCCTGATAATTAGACCAATTCGTAAATTACAAGGAAAAATGTGGTTCGGATTCCACTATAAACTGTAGGTCCCTTAGTTGCCATTAGCTGTATGGGCTATTAATTAACAGCTGTGTCTAAGGAACATGTCGGCCTTAGTCACTAACAAGACTACAAGATCGCGCCACTCATCCTACACTCATCCTTCACTCATATTTGGGTTAAAATACGCACATAGTGGCGTCCCCATCTTAAATAATTGATAATTGATAATTGATAATTGATAATATGTTAAAATGATTACGAAGCACAAATCGATACATATTTTCGATACATGCAATCGTTTACAATCGAAATTTACAACTGAGTTGACAACAGCTGATTTTTACTCCATAGAGGCTAAAAACGATTTTTACTCCCTAAATATTAAAAATGCTACTTTAGACCCGCAGCGCATGCATGAAAAAATACTGTTTTTACTGCAGTAAGACAAAAACAATATAATATGAACCCTTGATGACTCCGCTCAATTTTGTGGATGCCTCTGCGAACGCCACCTAGTATATACTAAATTATTTGTTTTTTTAAGCTCTTTAAAAAGGTCTAAAGAGAAATTGGGAAATTTTGTGTTTTGAGGGTCAAAAGTGAGAAAAACCAATTTTTACCCCATAAAACCACCTGTAAAGCCCCGTTCCCAAGGTCCGATCATGCTGGTT